CCCGAGTGACCCCCCTCCGCAAATACTCCCGGCTCGGTAGTGGCGGACATGATTCATGACGTGATAAAGCCGGCGCTGTGCGACTGCGATGGGGTGTGCAAGTTGGGTGACGACGTCATCGCGGCTTGCGAACAGTGCGAGTGTCCAGCAGACCGCTCGCAGGCGACGCTGGAGGCGCGCAAGGAGGCCGTGGTGGGGCGCATCGTTCAAGCACACACGTTTTGGAACGACGAAGCGTTGCACCCGCCGCAGGACGTTGCGGGTCGGGGACACCAGCCTCTCAGGTGAGTTCTTAAGGACGGCCCTAGGCAGGCCCCGGGCATAGACCTCGAGCAGGGTGCTTCGGGCAGCATGTGGTGGCGCTCCTAGTCCAGAGCGCTGTTAGGCTGGTTTGGTTGTTGGAGCTCCATTTGATAGTGGTTGATGCGGGTTGTAAAAATTGGTCTAATAGGAAGGTCCTCCCTTCTCCTTCTTTTCGCCACCGAGTTCAAAGACCTTGCAGCGCTTGATGGGGATCATGCGTTTATGTCTGCAGACGGTGCACTCGAGTTTCAAGGTAACCTTCTTGGTGGTCTTGACCTTGTTGTGCTGGATGGGCTTGGTCTGACCTCCGAAACCCTGCTGCTTTCTATCGTAACGACGCTTACCCTGAGTCACGGGGGAGTCCTTGCCCTTCTTGTACTGCGACACCTTATGCATCTGGTGCTTGCGGCACTTTTTGCCTGGACAGTAGGTGTTGCGAGTCTTCGGAATGTTAACCTACAATACCATGTACCGTGTGGACCCGAATCATGTACCGTGTGGACCCGAACCATGCACCGTGTGGACGCAAACCATGACCGCCCAAGCCCTGCCATGCCCTGCCAGGCGGCTGCCTTTCTCTGGTGCCCTGCCAGGCGGGTGCCAGGCCGTGCCCAGCATCAATCTTACCATCTCTCAACCCCCAGGAGTTCCAAGTAACAAACTGCTGCCGCGAAATTTTTAGGTTGTTTTGTCCCTAATTTGTACTCACCTTCGCTCCCCACAAGCCACAAGAACCAACACACGTATCGGAAAGACCACGACGCACTCTCGTGCACACGAGAGCGGGGTCCGTTAAGGCCATGAAAGCGGCGTGCGTTAAAGCCGCCGTCACTGGGCCCAGTCAGCGTTTAAACCCACCCGGCGCTGAGTCCACTAATTTCGACAGAGCCATCAGGGCTGCCTCTTGAACAAGACAAGAAAGCCGAAGTGGGGCTCGGATAAGACGGCGAGAGATATGGGTCCGAGTTAACGTAAAAAGGTTAGTGGTGATGCTTCTGGGCGGCGACGACCTCGGCCAGGTTGTCGCGTTTGCACTTGGCCGCGGTGTGGCTGCCGAGTCTCTTCTTGAGCACCTTGAGGGCGCGCTTTTGCGTGGCGGCAGTGCCGACCTTGAGCAGCTCAATCACGCGCTTCTCGTAAGGCGCAAAACCCGCAATTTCGGTGATGACATCGTGCACCAGTTTCTGTGAAGCAGACCGCTTCAGCTCCACAGGCGCCTTCTTATAATCCCGCTTGGTAACCATGAAGGTGGGCACGCGGTCGGCACGAGACTTCTTCTTACTCTCTGCAACACACATCATTACCGCTCACACCCATGTGTGTGCACACACACACACGCCGTACACGTGTCCTCCCCACTCGCGCTGACCACACACACGTGTCCTCCAACAAGCAGCACACACCCCGTTTACGCCCATGCATCTGGCGACCCACAGCGTTGTGCGCGCTGTCTTACCCTTGACCATTTTCTCGACGTGTTACTCTCGGCCGGGCTGACAAAAAATGGCCCAAAAAAAGACGTAACGACCGGGCAACGCACTCCCTGCAACCACACAGTGCTCGTTGCTAGAATTTGTTGAGGGTATTGTTGGTGAGTGCTCAGGTTGAAAACGACGGGCAGCAATGGCCGCGGGGCATATACATTTTGAAAGCCCACACACATGTCGTTCGAAGCCAACGGGAGCGAAGACACCGAAGGACGGAGATTGGAATCCCAAATAGAGCGTCCACCATGCGGACATTCTGAGAAAGGAAAAGCAGACGGACAAACCAATGATGACGCGGGCTGCAAACAAAAATCGAGATTCGTCATCGTGTCGGTGGCAGTTTTTGCGTGACCGAGTGCAACCGGACCCCTTAGGGAAGCACGACAGGCAGTCAACACCCGGGTCGGGACCGGCAGAGCGACTCCGAGCCTAGAAAGCTGTTCTAGGGAAAAGGGGGCTTTGCCTGAAGGTCCCCAAGAGGGTCGAGAGAAGAGAAAAGACCGTGGTGGATGCAAGCCACTGGAGGAGCGGGTGCGTAGACATCAAGGAATCGGGTTGAGTCACGATAGGAGCAGCCCCACGCGCCGCGACGATCGAGAGCACCGCCCTGGTAGCATCCTAATACTCCATGTATCAATCTCAGCACATCATATCCGAGACACGGCGCCTATGAAAAGACACATCTACAGCTGTCCGAGCCGAGACCTCTACCAGCCGAGACCTCTACCAGCCGGGCAAATTCGTGATTGCTTCTCGCCCGTTTCGTCTGACCACCTCAGTCGGTCCCGTTGTGACAAACACGAGGCACCGCATTTCCAGCACCCCCATCCTCCAACCTTCCACAGACGACAACTCGGACCAAACGCAAGGTAATAGCATCAGACGTACCGTGCCAATGGGCGTCAGTCCCATGGTCGTCCGTCCCACGTCTCCATCACAGGACCCCGAGCAATTTTTCTCTAGCGAGGCCCAATCATCGACTGGATACCACCCCACCGAGCGAGCTTCGTCACATCCCGATCCGACAACTTGAAGCCCGTCCAACTAATCTGAAACGCTTTCAATGTCAACCGAGACGGTTGTGGAAAAGTTCGCTTGTTGCGCTCGTCTCATTCTGTGGTAACATCTCCGTCCTGCCGTAGCCTTCCAGGCAAGATACCCGAGCCGCTTGCTCTGGCTTGGGCTGAAGCTCTCGCGTGCGGTAGTTCCCTGCAACATTTCAGTGAAGGTGTTGCTGAATGTGGCCCCTTGTCTCCAACATTGACTTTACGGACATCGAGGAGACCGGGTGGGTAGCCAAGGTCAAACAAAGTTGCACCGTTAACTGTTGTACTGTCATTTGCAGGGCAATTATTGCAAATGATGGTACTAGTCGTAGAACCAGGATCGTTGTTTATGGAACTCAGCAAACTATATATCAGTCGTACACCCAGCCCAACACCCAGCCCACCAACCAACGCCCGCAGAAATACTCAAGCAGCGTCGGTTCATGGCAACGAACCGCAACCTATGCCGGCCTCCGGACTGGCCGCCAGGTCCATCACTGGCAGTCATGTACCGGATCGCGCAAGTCGTCGATTTCCGCCAACGCCAGACCCCTGCAGCCTGTAATCTCGGCATCCCACCCGTCCTCGGTGCCCGGCCCCGACCCGCGCTCTCACGACTAATCCGGTTGACGATCGAAGGGCCGCCTACAGTTATTGGGTAGTTCTTTCTTTTCGTAGGGGTCAGAGAATGGGGGAAATAAATAGGCGCGCCTGCGTCTTAATTTGGTTCGCAAGTTCCCTTAATCTCTTGCGGCCCAATTTTATTCGCAATGATGGAGGTGCCGGTTATAGCTAATTCGGACAGGGCCTTAAATATTATTTGAGTCTACCGTGGGTATGGTGAATGCCTTTGCGAACAGGGAATTTCTTCTATCAAGCGATGACTGTAAGGATATCTGGCCAATTTATTCATCTATATTTTAGTGATGGCACGACTGGATAGCTTTATGCCCATGATGCGAGCAGCCGCGAGCACTACAGGAGATTGCAGTAGGGAGACTTTGGAAGTACGTGATGGAGATGATGTTATGCAGACTCCTGTAGTCGAGATGACCCTTCATATGGGAGTATATGAAGTCGCACCCGATCAAGAAGGACAATTAGATTGTCCCGTTATTGATTTCCACGATCGGAGACAACATTTCACAGCGAACGCCGATTCCATCGTGGACATAGAGATGATCTCTGATGTTGAGATCGATTCCTCACCAGATCTGACGGCGTCCGATCGACGAAGGAGGCCTTTGGATATGGAAAATATCGATCCTGGCTCAGCAACGAAAAGAAGAAAACAGAATCTCATACAAGATATGAGCTAAGGCACGGCGAAGTGGTATCCCCTTCAGATGCGGTGGTATCGCTCCCCACAATATATAGTGATAGACTTTTGTAAGCTAAACCTGCATATTTTCATTGATGTTTTATTTTGCGCACACGTGTGCGCCATGGGATACAGCTTTCATAGAATTGAATCGCGGGATATCTACGATCTCGCTTGCTCATCTTGGCCGATTTTTGGCCAGCAAGCAAAACTAGATCATGGTGAGTAGTGAATTGAGCGTCAATAACGATGTACTTGGTTAGGTCCGCCGTTCCCTTCCATCCTTACAAATAGAATGCCTCATCCGACAGAGGATAACAATATAGGTGACAGCGACGCCGCTACGCTTTCTGATTTTGAGCGGCAGCTCACAGGACACTCGTGTGGGGTGTGCGTAAGTACGCAGAACCGGATATTTCGCGCGTATGTCGCTGTCAAGTCCAATACGTTGCATAAACCACGAGAGGAGACCATTCGAGATTATCGACTGGGACCTCGGATTGAGGGCAAGATCAGAGAGATTGCGATTGCCTTGCTTCCTGGTGAGGAGGGAGATAGCAGCGAGGCTGGGAAGAGTCCTTCGGAGAGTCCGGCGTGGAAGACTGCGCCCGCCTCTTGGGTCAAGAGCATAAAAGAAGTGTTGACGTTCGGAAAGTCATTGGCCGACTCTAAGGGGGCTGACGAGATCCGTGGGAGGTCTCAGTCCGAAGAGCAGGAGGAGATGTTGGTCGCACTAGCCAATGCTCTGAAGGAAAGATTCGCCAAGCGAAAGTGTGTGCTCATCTATGGAGGGATGCATGTCAAGGTGGCTGGACAGCGGCTGCTTATTACCTCGGCGATTGGTGAAGACCAAGAGCTGGCTTTCTGCGGTTTGGGTACGGGAGACACCGTTGTTACTCCGGCGTTGGATGACCCGGGAGAGTTCTCGAAGATACACGTGTGTCCTTTTATGGACACGATACCGCAGGCCTATGAAATGGACATATTCCAGGACGCCTTGAGTCCGTTCTTCGCCAAGCACCCGCTCGTTTTGCTGGCCGAGGGAGACACGTTCCAGTACAATTCGGTCGAGTTCAAGGTCGTGAGTTCAAAGCCGGCGTCCGTGCCTGTGCGGATTTCGCTGGAGAAGGCCTTGTCTCTGCCCATCGAGGAGCTGATCCAGAGCATCCCAGTCAACAAGCGCAAACACCGCGTCGGCCCGTCCACTGCGGTCTGCCTGGGGTTCCCCATTCTGCCGCACTGGATCGACATCCTGAGTCCGGCTAGGCAGCACATCGTCATGTCCCTGCCCGCACCCATCCAGTCGCTCATGCTCATCAACTTCGTCAGCGAGACCGGTCCATCCGAGATCGAGCGCGTCATGAACGCCACCGAGGCCATGGGCAGGCCGCAGCTGACGCCCGCTGCGCGCGTCAAGGAGATGGCCGACTCCGTTTCAAAACTCCGTGTGGATGTCTCGAAAACCATGGAGGAAGACGGTGTCTGCATTATCTGTTTAGGTAACCTGGAAAAGAATGACGAAATCGTCAAACTGTCTTGCTCTCACGTCTTCCATTCCAAGTGCCTCCTCCACTGGCTGGTGCGCACAAAGACCTGTCCCCTGTGCAAAGTCGAACTCACCGACATCGATCTGCCCAAAACATAGCTCCTCGATGAGTGACTGACCGCTCGCTGCAAGTGGCTACCGACCACTCGGGGCTACCGACCAGTCGGGGCCAATGCTACCAACCCCTCGGGGCCAGTGACTACCGACCGCTAGGATTCGCGGCTAGTGGCCGCGACAAGTGACTCATGGACCGATTAGTTGCGGCAACGGCGAACAGGCCGACTAGTTGCGGCGAACGGACCGATTAGTTGCGCCAAGCGACTGACGGATGAATATTTTTGTTTCATATCATGGCCTGCGTTTTATGCCGGCTGGCGAGTGAAAATCCGGATTTAGTTAGCGAAGTGATTGAGCCGTTTATCTACAGTCTGTTACGGTATGAGGACGGGAAGCGGCCGGCGCAGCGAGAGCCTACACCGCGGCGTGCGCCGGAGCACTCGCGGGTGACGAAGAAGCCGTTGGCGTTGCAGGTGTTGGAGTCGAAGCACGTTGGCGATGGCGTGACGGGGCTTTTGTGTCAGCAGGACGTGGACACGTTTGTGAAGGTGGCGACGCGGAGTTCGCGGACGTTCGAACAGCTGGCGACTGGTCGGTTAGTTCCGGTTGGCGAGTTCCATGTGGGCGAGGAGGTGGAGTTGCTGGAGTACGTGGTCAAGCCGCAGACGGAAGGCACGCACTTCACGACCTACCAGGCCTACCTGCTGCGTCGGCGCCGCCCGGCGCGCTTCTCGCTCGGCTTCAGTTCCGAGCAGCACGTCGA